TCTGACCACAGAGTCAGTAGTTTCATTCCTCTTATGGCCAGACACGCTAATTCTCACCGTACGAACTGCACGTTCCACATCTCCTCACCATTTAGTCGACAGTTACTATGCAAAGCAAAATGTCAAACTCCAAACAGCGTTCCATTTTTACACATTTTACAAAATATTTACTTCTCCACTTGTGTATGTTACTATCGATATTCGAAAATTTACTTTTATTTTCTACAAAAAATATACTCGCCTATTGGAACTTGATTATATTTTTAAACTTCGTAGAAATAGTACGCGTAACAAGTAACCGTATATTTTCCCCAGTAGCTCCGTATACAAGACTATTAAAAAATAACAAATATAGTGTACTTTTACGTTTCATAACAGAGTAACGGAGATCAGCTTTATGAAGGAAGTAGTTTGGGTATTATTGTGGTCAGACAGTCGTCTCTAGTCCCAGGCATTTCTACTTAATTTCCCCTAAACTTACAATTTCATGGCGGAGACGGTGATTCTCGGTTTAAAATTAAAATTTCGCGCGTATCGTCGATTTCGAAAACTTTCCGAGGCGTTTTCGAATCGATTTCAGAGCCCCGTCGAATTTCGTAACGAATTTAACGCGTTGTACCGTCCGAACGACAGCTGATCCATCGGCCTGCGATGACGAGGAAAACGAAGCCCAAGGTGTCGCGTTTCACAATGCTCCTCCGACACAATCCAACACCTTGCTTTGATACGTTGTTTACGAACAGATCCCCTTCTCTCCTGCATTATGTAGCGACTCTCGACGGGAAAATGTATTACACGGTGCTTCGATTTGAATGAAACCTCGCGTCGGGAGTAACTCTATACAGCCAGCGACTCGTCCTAACGCCAAGTCTGATTTTCAATTCCACGTTGTCGCCTCCGTGACAACGACAACGTCGAAAACGCTTTGAAACTCGACGACGATTTGAACAAAATAATTTTTAAATTAACCCTCTGCACTCCTACGTCGAATGTGATTCGACATCGGTTTTTATCTAAGGAACTCCTTTGTCCAGTCCCACTCGACATTTTTTCAAGTCCAAACCAAAGAGATATACACTTGAAAATTACAAAATACAATAATTTTTAATCAACGTAAATTTCAAATAAAATACTTAAAAGCATTGGGAGCAGCTGGTAACAAGATTGAAATATAATTCGGAGTGCAAAGGGTTAACAAAGTGCTTTATTAAAAAAAATAAAATACACTGTAAAATTGTATTGTCACCACAGAGTCGATCCACTCGAATGAAAAATTGAACCGTTCGAGTATTTCGAAATAAAAATTCTTTCCAAAGCGTCTATGTGACCAATTTAAGTGATCGAAGAGAAACTTTGAAACAGTTCGTAAGATGAAAGTTAAATTGTCCGAGGGTTAAACGCGAGCACGCGTTGGGACTTTCCCTTTCGTCCAATGACAAGGTCGCCGAAACGTAGTCGAAACTATTCGGGTTCGACGTAAGATCGTACGACGCCAGACGTACGAAGGACGTTCGCAGCGATGCGTCGTCCTTTTTACCCGGTTTAAAATGCAATGGGGAGATTCTGTTGCGACGTGATCGTGTTTGTCGCGCAATGTTGCAGCTGGTATATTAGCCTACGTGCCTCGACGCACGAAGTGAGAGGAACAGAGGAAAACGAAAGGCCGACGGCCTTTTATTTTTCTGTCTGAAACGCAGCTATATGCGATGCTTTCACGAACCGGGATCGCGTTTCGTTCCAATATCTTCCTTGTTCCACTATACCAGCCATACTGTTTCACCCACTGGGTCCACCAATATAAAGCAATATCAAGTTGGCACTTTTGTTTCGCCCTCGTCTGATTTTTAAGGAAAATTTCGCTCTAAAATCAGTTTTAGAGCCCATAAAAACTGCTCTAAAATCAGTGTTTCCAGTATTGTTCTATTTCAGATTCGAATTTGGCGCATTAAAATCTCTAAAACGAGTCTCCTAATGGATGTATCGAAATCGACGACGATGGTTTCTAGAATCAGTTTTTCCAGTATCGCTCTACTTCAGATTCGAATTTGGCGCATCAAAACGAAAGGCTGACATTTTTTTTTATATTTTTAAAATAATATATTATTAAATTAATTTTTTTTAATTGGAAATAAATTTCAATTAAATTATTAACAATAATTTACCAATCAAACAAAAATATAATATTAAAGAAGAAAGCATAGAAATAATAAAATATACATAAGTAAATTTATTTATTTATTTATTTCGATGGCCTTTTATTTTTCTGTCTGAAACACAGCTATTTCCAGTATAGCTCTATTTCAGATTCGAATTTGGCGCGTTAAATTCTTTAAAATCTCTTAAAATCATCTACGAAATAACGATGGAAGATTTTCTGGGCACCGATCTGTCGCACCTGGTCAGAGGGAAGTCCGATAATCGCGCTACGTCAATGGCGCTTGGCGAACAACGTACAATGTACGCGCTGTCGTTCGTTACGTAAGACACGTGCTTTACAAATGCTGGTTCCTGATAGCTACGAGGCTTCGGTTAAATCGATAATCGAACGAATACGTGGTCACGGTTATTTGCATATCCGCGCGATCGTTTTCCGTGACGCGAGCGCGGTTCGAGGAATTTTTCGGCCAGGGAAATACAAGCTGCTTATTAAAGGAGGAAAAGTATAGCTTCCACCGTGCACGGTTGCGCGCGACGGCCATTTTGTCTTCGGATGACATCGCGTAGTTACGAGGAATTCCAGCTGTCCCGCGAAGCAATCATTCTCCTCTTAAATTATATAGATAAATCTTGTTCTTTTCAGAGACTCGAACGGTCGTTATTATTGCGCAAAGACTGTTTAGTTTTTTTCGTTGCCTCATTGTTCGCGATACATTGTTTACACGGGCGCGCTGATAAACAAAACGTCCACCGGGAAGCATAGTTTTGCTATCGGTTCGCGGCGGGACGATAAGGGTATCTTAATTAATGGAATCGAATTCTAGTTTGTCGGTTCAGCTGTTGTCGACGTTTATCTTTAATTAGTTCTCGATAGAATTAAATGGTATTCACTTTTTCTATACAATAGGAGAACAAACTATCTTTTGTACGCGCTTCGAAACGATTACAATGTCTTCGAACGATGTATTCGATGAAAGGTAAACATTTATTCACGACTGCTCGTGTTAAAATTCTTTTTTTATTTTTGTCGTTTAGTTTATTCGAAGCTCGTTTCGATACGCGAATATATATACACGTACGAAGCATGCGGGCATAAGTGGGAACCTAACTATACATTTATAAATCCGCTTAACTCGAAGACTTAAGTAACCGATGAGAAAGCGACGCTCTCTAAGGTCATGTCGCCGGGGAAAAAATCGTGTCTCCATTACCCTTTTCAGGTTTCATCGTGAACCTACGTAAAAAACGTTTAAAGGAAGAATTATTTAAATATTAGCCATTTTCGTGGCACTCGCAACATTACCAACAGATTACAGAAATGAACGCAAGAGGAAAATGAAATTACAGAAACATTTCTGGCCACACATTATATTTTCAGTAATGAATTTTTTTTTCGAAAATGCGTAGGATTTCGGGGATATGTATATTCACCAAAAATTATTGTAATTGACTCCTGCAATCGAAAATAATTTTTCCAAAACGATTCGAAATTTTTGTTTTTCGTCGTAAAATTTCACACCTTCTCGAATTTTTTTCTAGAAAATGGTTAGGATTTCGGGCATATGTCTATTCACCAAAAATGATTATAATTGACTCCAGGACCCAAATATAATTTTTTCAGAACGATTTAATATTTTTGTTTTTCGTCGTAAAATTTCACACCTTTTCGAATTTTTTTCTAGAAAATGGTTAGGATTTCTGGCATATGTCTATTCACCAAAAATGGTTGCATTTGACCCCAGGACACAAATATAATTTTATCAGAACGATTTGATATTTTTGTTTTTCGTCGTAAAGTTTCACACCTTCTCAAATTTTTTTCTAGAAAATGGTTAGGATTTCGGGCGTATGTCTATTCACCAAACATGGTTGTATTTGACCCCAGGACCCAAATATAATTTTCTTAGAACGATTTGAAATTTTTGTTTTTCGCCGAAAAATTCAGGCACCCCTGTTGATTTTTCTTAACAATTGGTTTCTCATTTTTAATAAATTTGTTTGACGCGCTCCAGAAAAGTTGTTTAGTGCTTCTTAGTAGGTAGCTCTACTTCCCTACTAAATTTCAATGAAATACTCTCACTATTATAGGAGTTATGGACGTTTGAAGTTTGGACCATTTTTATGGGGTTTTTCTCACTTTACGGTATCAAGGAACGATTTTTCGAATATTTTTGCAATTTCTACATATTCTTCACCAAAATACGCGTTGTTTGCCGTTTGAAACATTAAAATCCGCCAATCCGTTCAGAAGTTATGATGCTTTAAACATTTGCATGAAATTTCAGTGAAACATATCAATGGTGTGGTCAGACATTATATTTTCGGTAAGGAATTTTTTTCTCGAAAATGCGTAGGATTTCGAGGGTATGTGTATTCACCAAAAATGGTTGTACTTGACCCCCGGAGCTAAAAATATTTTTTTCAGAACGATTTGAAAATTTTTTTTTGCCGAGAAATTTAGGCACCTACTCGAATTTTTTTCTCGAAAATGGTTAAGATTTTGGGGGTATGTCTATTTACCAAAAATGATTGTATTTGACCCCAGAACCTAGAAATAATTTTTTCTTAGAAATTCGTTTTTCATTTTTAATAAACACAACTGTGGGTAATGTAGTAATACAATTTATTGATAAAAAATAAAATATATAAAATTCCTACGCTTTATTCCTCAACTGTTTGGTATCTACGTCACTGCTGGATGCATGAGGCTGTAACTTCTCTATTTTTGTAAAATATAATCCATAACATTTACCGTAAATATGCGTATAATTTTAATGTATACTACTTTCAAAATATTTAAATACATAATTTCATTCTAACGATAGTTTTCAATTTTGTTGCAGGTATGTATACGCCAATTCGTTCAGTGTCCATAAATCTTGCTGAACTGCAAGGGTAAGTGCACCATCAGTACAAGCAGAGAAGATAATTATTTTCTTCCAACTTTCATCAAATAATTCTCACAATTTCTACTTATTATTATTTCTATCTCGTCAGAAATTAATTCCGATTGCTCCACCCTGAAACGATTAAACTTTCTCGAGCGAAGATCATTCAGGGTGGCCATGAAAACAGCCGTCGACGCGTAAACTTCGTTTCACGAGCATCAAGGATACGTTAGAACCTTCATTGTCAGTCAAACGTTCGACACGCTTTGCCAATGATAACGGGTGTCGACGACGAACGCGACCAAGGATGCGTTTGCACGTTTGACCCCGGGCAGTGTCGGGTACTCGAATTCCTTGGATGCTTATCGTTGTTTTTTCATCGGGTCGAGTGAAATGAAAAATCCGTCTTATCGTCGCGCGAAACGTTCATTTTCGCGCCGCGGTGGCCGTAAACATCGCGTTACGCAATCCAGTCGAGCTTCCAGGTTGTTCGCGAGCAATCTCGCGCACGATCGCTCGCAACTTTGCGTCACCAGGCGCAAGAAAACGAAGAAGTTGCGCTCGCGAGGTGTTCAGGGTCACGGAGCTTCACGGAGACCAGTTATTGAATAATTTACAACCGCCGGTAGGGTTATTATACCGCTCGAAATAATTAATGGAGCGTTTATTGACGTGACTTCATCGCTCTGTTCCACGGATACTTTAAAACCTATTGGAAGTACATTCCTTGGCTATCGAATACAAAGATTTCTGTCGATCAATTTACTATTTACTATTCTTTTCCACAGTAGCATAAATCAAACGGGTTGTCAGCGACTCGGTATGAAATATCGACTGTGTGTTATAGGATTTAAAGAAGTTGGCTTTTCTCCGATAGAAGAACAAAAACAATAGCTTGTTTTCTGCAGAATACGGTATATAAACGCTGGGAATAGAGTTTAGTGTAGTTTAGACTCTTGCTGGCTGAAAGTTTGGAATTTTGTTAGCGCGAAGTTCACGTTTTCTTCGATTTATAGTTCTCCTAGTTTAAGTAAAGTGTTCGCGATCTTAGCTAATATTTATGCGAAATAAACTTACGGTGTGTTCGTACTAGAGAGGTTCTAGGCTTTCGTAACACAGTGAAGTTTTCTTTATCGCGATTTAAGGCAAACCATTGGCGCTCTTGCTTCGTCCAAAGAGCAGAATAGTCGGAATTTTTACAAGTTTAATTTTGTAATTTAAAGCTTCTCTAATTTTAAAAGGTTTGGTTCAGTTTGCAAACTTCCTTGGTCGCGATTTAAGGAACAGAGCTTGGAAACAGTAACTCGTGTTTGCTACTTCTTCGTCTAAAATCAGTGCTTTAATCGGAGGAGGATCTAAGTTAATTTGTAAAGTTTCTTTATCGCGAGTGAAGCAATATCGGAGAGATCGAGTGATCTGATCCCGAAGATAATAATCTTTGCAACGTGGAGAGATTTTATTTTTGTAATCTGTGTACTTCGAGATTTCATAATATTGAAAGAATCGAATCGAAACCAAGTCAGTAATTAAAAATGAATTCTTTATTGGCTAGAAATTACAGTATTCAAAATTTCTAAGGAATTGCGTTTTCGAATATCTGGGCCAAGCTCGTATTTTTTGAACGAAGCCTATTTCTGGCTTTATTGCGTGTAGTAGCTGACGTCAAGATGGGTTCAATGATCTCACGATCTATAACCTTGAAACGACTTCGAATTGAGAAACGTGGAAAATTACTTAAAAAATCGCGTTCAATTTTGTAATATATTTTATTCATCGTGCGTTTAGAATTTGCCCGAGAGTGATTAAATATTATCAGCGGAGGAAGCTCGACCGAAAAACCGTGTACAATTTTCGTAGAACTTGCAGTAATTACAAAGTCTGATTGGTAGGAGCTGAACAACGCTAACATACAAATATAACTTGGAGCAATTACAAAGTCTAATTGGTATGAAGCGAAACAACGCAAACACGCGGATACAACTTCGAACAATTACAATAATCTGATCGATAAAAGTAGTTGCGGGAATACGATTAAACATAGATGCCCAAGAAGCTCGATGTTTAATTGATAGGAATTAGATATCGAAATCTTATCTTGGTATCGAGTTTCAATATTTATTATAATGTAATTACAAAGCTACGTTGTATTCGAAATCTGTGTGTTTGTGATTTTCCTACGATTCCGTGAACGCAGTGGCGATGGTGAGGAGCTCGCGTCGAAGTTCGAATCGAAGCGTATTAGTAATAAAGTGTCGCGTTTCCGGCCGCGAGACGACATCGCGCGTGCATCGTATTGTTCCAGCTCGTTATTTCCAGCACGTATTCCCGATCGATCGTTTATCTCGCGAATGCTGACGGACTTAGCAAACGCAGAAGCGTGTGGCTCCAAACTGCGGCTCGCTTGTACAAGCATGAGACGACAGATCGCATTATGTACGGACCGAGTGTCGCTAACGTGACGATCATTCAGAGAATCCGCTGATCGATTCCCATTCAGCGCGCCTTTTTACTCCCCCGCGTTCATACTCGTCTTTATCTTCAAACTTTAATCGCGCAGAACGAATAAAAATGTTAGTTTCCTGGATGATAATTCAAAATTTTACTAATATATTATTGTTACATAGTATGGGTTAACTTTTTTTAATATCATAATAAGTTTCACGCGTGGATAAAGTGTACAAGAATTTAGCAATCGAGAAAAAATTTGAATGGGAGATTATAGAGGCCAAAATAAGACGAAAATCAAGAATACTATTTTGTTGATTCAGGCTTCGTTAAAAAGTTATTAACGTTTAAAGTTCTGCTCGTAATGAATTTTTTTCTCGAAAGTGGATAGGAATTCGGAGGTAGGTCTATTCAACAAAAATACTTGTAATTGATCCCTGTAACTAAATATAATTTTTTTAGTATGATTTGAAATTTTTCAATTTCATCTAAAAACTCCAGTACCTTCTCGAATTTTTTTCTCGAAAGTGGGTAAGATTTCAAAAATATGTCCATTCACCAAAAATGCTTGTAATTGACCCCTGTATCTAAATATAATTTTTTTGGAATGATTTGACATATTTTAATTTCTTCTAAAAATTTCACACATTCTCGAATTTTTTTAGCGAAAATGGGTAGGATTTCGAGGATTTGACTAATGACAAAACATGATTGTAACTGTCCCCTGTAACTAAATATAATTTTTTTAGAATGATTTGAAATTTTTTAATTTTGTCTAAAAACTCCAGTACCTACTCGAATTTTTTTCTCGAAAGTGGATAGGATTTCGAGAGTATGTCTAATGACCAAAAATGACTGTAATTGACTCCTATAGTCAAAAATATTTTTTTTAGTATGATTTGAAATTTTTTAATTTCGTCTGAAAACTCCAGTACTTACTCGAATTTTTTTCTCGAAAGTGAGTAGGATTTTAGGGATATGTCTAATGTCCAAAAATGATTATAATTGACCCCCGGAACTAGGAATAATTTTTTCAGAATGATTTGAAATTTTTTAATAACTTTTGAATTAAGCCTCGCTCAAGAAATTGATATTTTTGATTTTCGTCTTATTTTGGCCTCTAAAATCACCCATTAAAATGTTTCTCAGGGATGGTCGAACACCCCATATAGTATAGAAATATTAAAAAAGTGCTACAGCTTGAGATCGGTTAGAAATCCATCGTGGTTTTTATAAATAACTTTTAATCAACGCCCACGTCTCGCGTCCGTGGCCATGTATGCCGTTGCATTTATTGCAGAGCTTAATTACTATGGTAATGCACGCGTGAGGCGATATTTTTAGAGCAGATACTCGAGTCGATGATCCGTCGATATTTTAGTTCTCGTTATTCTTCTCAACCATTGAAAGGTGCGAGAAAAGTATATTTCCGATCGAATTTGCATAACTTTTGACCAACGTCGACTTCCCCGATTAAAATAAAAGAGATACAGAATAAAAAGAACAAAAGAAAATTGTATAGAAGAGAAAATTTTTCTTCGAATATCATCGGCTGTCGAGAACCAAAAATACGCATAAAATAATTGACGTTTCTCACTCTGGAATCCTGGAAAGCGTAAGAATGATCGAGTCAGGCACCGTAGGAGGCCAGAAATTAGAATTCGAGTAGAGAGCAGCGTGCTGGGTCGGACGCGGTCCTAAAACGCGATAAATATCGCTGCAGTAGAAAGTGTCATTCCGTGCCAGACAGGCTACGCGAGCAATGCGACGGAGCAAGGCGAAGCGAATACGTCTGTATTAACACGGTATCATCGTGACACGGTAAAAACCGCTCTACCAACAGCCGTTTGATTAAATTCGCTGTCGAGAACCGATTAGACACGCAATAAATCATATAGAATAGATTAGCGTACAAAGGAACTGCGTAAATCATCGATCACGATTCCAAACGCGACAGAAAATCTTCTCTAAGTCGCCACCGAAATTTTCGTGCTCGACTCGTGGACTTTCTTTCGAACAATCGAACATAATAATTAAAAATCGAGGAAAATATTTAACATTATTATCGTATCAACATTGAAATGCACATTTTCATGCTTGCAAAATTATTTCACGAAATTTCTGTAACCTTAATTACGAAATCTGACACTCGTCAATACCGTCTCGTTAATGCAGCCAGAAATTCGACATATTTTCACACGTGTTGAATTATAACGTTAATGATCAGACCTTTTCCACTCGATCTTTTTTTACTCGTTCGTCATCATCCTTCTTCTCGTATCATCATTCTCCGTCTGACGTTATCTAGATCAGTCGTCGACTGAGAAACGCATGATGTTACCGCCAACACCTGAACGCGCCGAGAAAACAAAGTGCATACGTGTTTCGAAAGCTATCTTCGTTTTCGTTGACGCGACGCAACGTTTTATCGATTAACGAAAATGGATGCGAACGACCTGCGAATCGTAGCAGCGACGATGACGCAAGTGTCGTACAATCATCCGAACGAGCGTTACTTTCTTTTCGTGCGTCAGTGTGTCACGTGATTCGTTCGTTCACGTG